TGTGGGGGGGTGGGGGTGGTGAGGAGAAAAAGAGAAAAAAATATCCTTGCCGTTACAGAGCTTCTATCCTACTGGGTAAAGATCTGCTAAACAAGATAAGCAAACAGCATGGTATGTCAGATGGTGATAAGTGCAAAGGAGACAAAAGAAAGGCAGTTAAGGGACACACAGGGAGCTGGTGGACGGTACTTTTAGATTTGGTAACCAGGAAAAACCTCACAGAGAATGTGACTTTTGAGCAAAGACCTGAAGGAGGCAAGGCAGCTGAAAATGTGGTTATCTGGGAAAAGAGCATGCCAAGCACAGGGAACAGCAAGTGCAAAGGCCCTGTGGTGGGAGCACGACTTGTTCCTGGAAGAGCCCGTGTGACGGAAGGGGAGTGAATGAGAGGGAAGGAGGCAAAATGTCCAAATGTGGTCTTTTAATCTGCCCTGTGTATCCATGGAATCATTTACACCAGACATTTCTTGGGGAGTGCTTCTAACCAGCGTCTGTTCTAAAACCACGGGCTTCTAATAGTTTTTAAAGCAGTAGAACCCTTCCTTCCAATGAAATATGAAGTGGAAGTTCAAGACAGGAAACAGAGGAGCAGCAAGGCAGCTCTCTGTCAACTCCCACTCATCCCTTCACCCCACACTGGTTCAAGGTTACGCTGTGGAGGAGGCTTTGTTCCCCACCCAGCTCAGGTTGAAACCACCGCTCTAGGATTATAGTCTGATGCTCTGCCTAGAGTCATGCTGTTCTCCGGCATGAAGGAGTCTTGTCTGGCTCCTGGAAGTACAAGGAGACTTTCAGTAGGTATTTACGTCCAACATGTGAACGAACTTAGAGCCTCTGCAGTTACAACCACATGGTGATGTGTGGGTCTGATATGTTCCTAGAAACTAGTTCTCTATTCTGGAACTTCTTTTTTCTTCAAACCAATTTTTAAACTTTCTCTTTTTTTTTTTTTTGAAGAGATAAAACAGGTCAAACACACACACACACACACACAAATACACTAAAAAAGTCAGTCTCCTATGGATAACTAAATGACCGTGTATTGGCAATGGAATTTCACACCCTTAAGCAAACAAAAAATGAATTACTGAGATAGCCAACAGTATGGATGAATATCACAAATATTTTGTTGAGCAAAAGGTGCCAGCCAGACTCTTCAGTCCATACCGTGTGACCCATGTGTACGATGTTCAGGCAAAGCTAATCTGCAGGGAGAGGAGTAACTCACCAGAAAGATGAAAAGATTCTGTATCTTGATCCAGATGGTGCAGGCAGAGGTGCAGTGGATACACATAAAAACTCACGGAGCTGCAAAACAATTCGTGCGTTTTACTCTTGGTAAATAGTAATAAAGTCCGCCTCCTTCCCACTGCCTGTGGCTCCCAGCTACCCAAATTTCCGTCCCACAAGGCCACTTCTCCAGCCGGGATATCTTAATGCCCCTCTTCTAGCAGTACCTTCGCGCTAGGGGCAGAATCCTGGGAGCATGCCAGGCAGACATCAGAGGCCAAGGCTGCAGGCACTGTGCCATGGCTTGTGTGCATGCCCCTTGCCTTTCTCTGGCCTCTTTGGCCCTCCTCTTCCTCCTTTCCTCCCTGGAGGGTTGCGGGAGGTGGCTGACCCTGGCTGAACAGTGTTGTCCGTGCTGGCCCTCCAGGGTGTGCCTGCCTAGAAAGGACAGCGTGTGCTTATCAAGCTTATCCGTTGACACGTTCCCTCCCTCTTTAATTCTCTCCCTTCTGATCCCTGCACTGATCCTAGGACTTCTTGCTCCCTGGGCACTCTGTCTCAGGGAAGTGAGCTTCCCTGGTCTACTGCCCTGGAATGCTTCCCTTTTATGGGGCAGTCTTGACAGCAACCCACTTTGTGTTTGCATGTAAACTGGGGGCAGGGGGGGGCTGTCTCAGTGGAAGCTGAGGGCCCGTCTTATCTTCCCTCCGCACCCCTATCCCCACCCCCCAACTTCTAGCTTTATCCCTTGAGCCTGTCCCTTACCCCACCCAGGGCTTCAGCCCAGCCAAGCCTTTTATCTTATCATCTGTGGTTTTCCCCCTACCACGATTCCCCATTGCCTAAGGCCAGAGAGGCCTGAGTCACGTTCAAGTCAATTTGGCTCGCGTCCTTGGAGCAGGGCAGAAAGTAAACGGTACTACTTGTTCCTCGCCTCTAAGAAGCTTCTGAAGCAGGGGAAATGGTGCACAACCCAGGCCCAGTTATAATAGTTCTCAACCCACTACATTGTGTTGGTCCTTCCTAAGTGCCAGGCACTGACCTGCCTGCTTTTTGTGCATTACGTCTCTGAATTTTCCAAAGAACCTATGGAGGATGATTATTACCCTCATTTTGGAGATGAAGGCGCTGAGACATAAGGCTTAAACTGTTGGCATGTGGCTGCTGGGATCTGAACAGCAGCTTCCCTAGGGGAAACGCCCTATTCAGGCTCTCGGGGGTTCAAGCAGGAGCTGAGTGTCGGGCCTTGGGGGGCATCGAGTTGTGCCACACCCTTTCCACACAGTTCCCTCCGGCGTCAGGGGCCTGGGAAGGGGCTTCGGGGCGGTGTATCGGCTGGAAACAGGGACTTCACGAGAGGCAGATACAAAGCTCCGCGTGGCAGAGGAGCAGAAGGGCGCGGGGGAACCCGGGCCAAAAGAGGCCCTGCCGGCTCCCGGGGCACCGCAAGCCTCGAGGCGTTGCGAGCGTCGCGGCTGTTGCAAGCCCCAGCGGCGCGCGCAAACTGCCCCCAACTACTTCCCCGGGGCGGCTTCGGGGCCCGGGGCCCGGCGACAGTCCCAAGGGGCGGCCGTGCGAGGCCCGAAGCCCAGACCCGGCTCGGCGGAGGCGGCGCTGGTGGGGACTAGTCTCGTCCGGAGACTGGCAGCGGCGGCGGCGTCGGCGGCGGCCGGAGCTTGAGCCCCAGCGGCTGAGGGCGGGCGCGGGGGAGGGAGGGGGGCCGGTCCGCGACGACTCCCCGGACGGCGTTTCTCCTCCGAGCAGCGCCGGTTTCGGCTTTGGGGGGGGCGGGGGTACAGCCCATCCATGACCATGGGCGACAAGAAGAGCCCGACCAGGTACCTGCTCCGAGCCGAGGGGGCGGAAGGGGAGGGAGGGCCGGGGGCGGGCGGGGGCCGGCGACGACTAGGCCCCGGAGCCACCCGGGGCGGGGGGGGGCGCTGCTAAGATGGAGATC